GGGGTCTTGACTCTGGGTCTCCTGGCCCAGTGGGACTTGGGGTGTCCTGTGGAATGGTGGATCATTAGTATTCTTATCATTGTGATGGGCCAGTGGGCAAATATTTATGTGAGGTCATCATTTTTGTTTTGTTGTTACTAATTACTTTATTTCACTTTGGATGAATTTATTTAGTTACTCTATGCATTACTCTATTGCACCAGGGATTTTATGAAGCAGCCCATCTTCCTGCCACTCTTGTGAGAACAAACTTAAACCCAACACCCAAGAGGACCGGTTTCCTCCTGGGCATCCTGGAGCCTGGCATCGGCTGCTCCAGCTGAGGGAGCTGGTCCATCGGCAGGGGCCACGAGGGGTGGCCAGCAGGGTTGCAAGTCTGTTCTCAGGCGCCTGTGGGAATCCCTTCAGGCCCCAAGTAGGACTGGGAGGAGTGAGAGTGCTGGGTCAGGAGGCACAGGGGAGGTCTGCCAGTGGGGCAGCGGAGAAGGGCCCCTCCCACCTGGCCCTCCAGTTCCCAGGCTGGCCCTCAAGCCCACGCCGTGCTGAGATGAGCTCCTTACCTGAGCTGTCTCCACGATCTCCTTTTTGGGCCTTCACTCCTTGCGTCCCAGGAGCCCCTCTACTTCCTGGAGGCCCCAGTTTCCCTGGAGGGCCCTGCAAGCCTCGGAGCCCTGCCCTGTTGGAAGATGAAGGACATGTGGCCCAGTGTCTGTCTCTCATTCTTTTCCTCCAAAAGCTCAACACTAGATTCACGTTGACTCTAGAAACCACTTGCCTCCAGTGCCAGCTGCCCGGGCTGCAGGTACCACCTCTTACGGACAAGCACACACCACCAATTCCCCCATTGAAAGGTGGGAACCAGGTCACAACAGCGTCTTTGTTTAGGAGACAATGACAATGTACAGGAATTATTCTGAGTGATTCATCCCCATCATAATGTAAGGGGAGCCTGCTCATGGCTCTGTCCCAGATCCCTCTGGGGAGTAAAGATTCAAGAAGTCAGACCAGCCTGGGTACCTGGTTCTCCTTTTTCCCCTTGGCTCCGTCTCGCCCATCTCTGCCTGGGGTGCCATTGGTGACCAGGATGCCACAGGCAATCACTGAGCAGGCCTCCTGGGCATCTTCACAGGTTGTGGGTTCTGAGAAGGACACTGTCACCACACACAGAAGGGTGGGAAGTGATGCAAACCACAACATGGCCCTCACCTGATAGTGGAGAGAGTGAGGGAAAGAATTGCATCTCATCCCGTGTAGCCAACATCTGCTACCACCTCTGGTGTGTTGGACCCTGTGCTCGGGACAGCAGACACGCCAGCTTTGACTCTGACTTTCTCCCAGGCTGCTAGGGAGACAGACAACTTACACATTCACTACTGTAATGTGTAATACTCATGAAACCATAATATGGTTTCATGTACATAATGTACTGGCTGAGCTCTCAAGGCCTCTACAAAACCATATACTTTTTTTCCAACTGAATTAGAATTCTTAATTCTTAGAAAACTTAACTTGTAGTGACATCTAAAAGCAAGTAATTAGCATATTTTTGGATTGACAAATTTATGAATACATTTTACAACTTCTAGAAATAGGTGTTTTTCATTGGCAAATAGACTCACATTTTCAAGCGACATACTTCAAATAAAGTACAAAATATATTCATTCCCAGATTCAAATTTATTTGTTCTTACTAACTGTATGAGATTTTAAAGTTAATTATTACCCAAGCCATTTTATTGACAAATTTTGTAACAGAGATAAATAACATGAACTTTGTTTTGTAAACCCAGGCAAAGCAAACACGTATTTTATGTTAATAACTTTGAAAGACCTTCACTAACCTTAAACCACCATTTGAATTCTTGGTGATTATTGCATTCCTTTAGTGTGTTGCTTAATTACCTAGTGATCCTGCCAACTTTTTAAAATGCTGGAGATGAGGGAGGGTATTAGGCTTGGACAACTTCCTCCACCACTTTTTTAAAAGTGTCAGTTTTTGCCTCTCACAGTGGGGTGGGGCAGTCACCCCTACTGCTCCTGCTGCCCACACAGAGTTTGGGGGAGGCACCAATTCCTGCGCTGTCCCCGGGACCACAGCATCCTCAGGGCCCCCAGAAGAATTTTGGGGGTTTAAAAGAACCATTTACTTTTTTTAAAAAAATATGTTTTTATTGACTTTAGAGAAAGAGAGGAAGGGAAAATGACAGAGAGAGAAACATCAATTGGCTAACTCCTGCGCACCCCCTACTGGGGATGGAGCCTGCAACCCAGGCATGTGCCCTGATCAGGAACTGAACTGGTGATCTTTCAGTTCATGGGATGATGCTCAACCAACTGAGCCACTCTGGCCAGGCAAGAGACCCATTTTCTTTATTTTCCTTTCATTTGCCAGCGGCAGCTTTCACACCACTGATTCCAGGACCAAAAATAGTCCTATTGGTGTTTTCCAGGTGGTCCCCAACTGTCAATCAGGGCTGCCACCTGGGATTTCCCCAGTACATTCACAGCACCTCCCATCCTGCCTCCACCAACTGGACTACGCGACTGGTTCTGCAAAGAGCTGAGGTCTGAGAGAAACATCAGTGTGTTGCTTGCTGGTTTTTTTTTTTTTATGATTTCAGAGAGCGAGAGAGAGATAGAAACATCAATGATGAGAGAGAATCATTGATTGGCTACCTCCTGCACGCCTCATACTGGGGATCGAGCCCACAGCCCGGGCATGTGCCCTGACCAGTAATGGAGCCTGGGACCTAAGCTCTATCCACTGAGCCAAACCGGCTAGGGCTTTCCTGCTGGTTTTAAAGAAATAAACCAGAGGACTGGCTGTGAAGGACCTGGGTTCATTAGACTTATGTGGACACCGGTGGGGCCTGCTGGTGAAGTTTTCCGCATCACAGGCTTTCACAGCTCATGGTTATAGAGAGTCCAGAAAACAAAGCAAGCAAGTGTGGGCAGGGGGTGGGGTGTACCTGTGTGCAAACTGTGTGAGATCAAAATGCCAGCTGTTTCCCTGCAGTTTGCAGTCTGGGCTCACACACTCACCAGGCTCCCAAGGTCCCACGGTCCACTTCCAGATGGCCTTCCTCAGAGTCCCACAGGGTGCGAGGCTCACATACCGTACACTGGCATATGTTATGGGATATTTTCAAAAGCATAAAGGACTCGGTGGATATACCATGAAACTAAGATTAAAATAAGAATCTGAAGTAAGAGAGTTTAAAAAAAAAGTTTTGATGACTTAGGAAGGAAGATTAACCATAAGGCTGGCAACTTAGGGTCTTTGTTGACCTTTGCCAATGAGATTGAAATAATGGAGTAGGAACAGAGGCACTAGTGACTGGAGTTGAGAAAAGAATTAAAGCAAGGAATTGAAAGTCTGGTGGAAATGTTTTTTGGAAGCAGCTTAATAGAGGAGTCACAGGGAAGGTTGCCACATCGTGTGAATTCAAGTTACTGAGAGAAAAAATAAAACAAAAAACACCTCATATGAACTCTGGATTATTGGGGGGAGGGAGGATGCAGCCAGATAAATTAGTTTGGGTTCAACCTTATTTTGGTTTGCTCTCCTAGTCTCCAAACTCCTTCAACACTTCCAGCTTCGCACATGTCGCCTCTCCTGCCTCAGAACACCTAGTGCTGCCCAGATGCACTGGCTGAGCTCTCAAGGCCTCGAACTCCTAGCAGCAGCCAGGACCCATCTGCAGGCAGGACTCACAGGCCTCCATGAGGTCATCTGCCCATCAAGTCTGTTCCTGGTGCTTATCCTTCATTTTGGTGGGGAGGCATGATCT